CCATTTGTCTTCTTTTTAATAAGTCAGCTTTACATTAAAAATATCTAGTTTGGTCATAAACCTACTCAGAATGTTTGCCTCTATTATCTATGAAGCCACTTTGTATTTTTTTCTATGATAGAATATTTTTATTTTTGGGCTGGGGCTGTGGCTCAGCAGTAGAGTGCTCACGTAGCACATGTGAGACCCTGGATTCGATCCTCAGCATCACATAAAAATAAATAAATAAAATAAAGTTATTGTGTCCAGTTACAATGAAAAGATAAATATTAAAAACATAAAGTAGAACCTACTATCTACTGGGGAGTAGAGCTTTTATTTCATAAAGCTCCAACGTGTCTCTCTTTTCTTCCAGGGCGGTGTATCTCTGAAAGAACTGAATGCCCGACCTTTAGAAGTTTTCATGTGCAGTGTGCTCAAAAGACAAGGTTATGGAGAAGGATTCCGCTGGATGGCACAGTACATTGATTAACATCGACATCAACCTGCCTCTGCTCCAGGTCTCACATTCAGGCCTACTCAGAGATTTGATCACTCAACATGCATAACTTGAATTCAATAGACTTTTGTTGGATTTAAAATAGATGTTTTTTAGATTATTAATATATATATCAACTTAATTTGAGAGAGAATTGAAAACTGATTCAAGTAAGTTTGAATATCCCAATGTTTGCTTTCTAATTCCATACAAATAGTTTTTAAAGTTTATAATCTGATGTTTACCCCAGCACCATTTATAAAGAGCAACTTTACAGCAGTACATTTGAAGCACTTTTTAACATTGTGAATCTACAAATATAAATCATATTTAAAAGCTCATCATGTTAAATTTTTTATGTACTTTTCTGGTACTAGTTTTTAAATTTTAGATCATTTGTCTGCCTCTCGAGTGTACAGTTAATAATTAGCTTATCAATGATTGCATGATGCCTTACAATTTTCAATAATACTTTTTCTTATGCAAACGTCATGCAATAAAACAAACTCTAATGTTTGGTATCCTTGTTGGGCAAATGTTTCATTTGAATGTGTCTTATTTAACTAAGTATATTCTTAAATTTTAAAATATTTAATATACAGGAGAGGATTTTGGGAAAGGAAATTCCTTTAGAATATTTAGAATAATGTTTAAGTCCCTAAAGGCTTTTGCATTTACAATGTAGTAGTTGTAGTTGGTTGCACCTGATACCACATTTCTCTTGGAATCATGTGTATTTTTATCAGTAATGCTGTCATTGCCAGTGCTGGTGGACTGTATGTCCCAGTCCCTGTGGGATCAGCCTTCTGAAGAAAAGCACATCTACAATATGCAAGGTTGAGCCTCAATTTCGTAGGCCTTGTAGTTCCATCCTAGTTATCTAATGCTGAAGTGCTCAAGTCTAACTGGTGTCTAGTTTGGTAACCTGTACTTTGCCAAAAATAGTGACAGGCACAAGTCTCATTTATAGGTACTTCCCAGGGCATGCAACAGGTAGGATCCTATGCACAGTTTTCGTTGTATAGACCTGCATATCTAAGGACAAAGAAACAGCTTGTTCTGTGGGGATTTTACTTCTATCCTATAGCTCTTCTGCGTTCTTTGGGATATTTTGCTTCCTGGTAGGGAGAAAATGAATGTGTTTTTTTTTTTTTCTTAATTGCTATCAGCTAGCTCTTCCTTTTTAATCACAAAGACTCGTTTTTAGATGTAAAACTTGCTATGTGATAGTGTCCACAGCCTCACTGTTAGACTCACTAATGAAAATTTAGTTGGTTTTTAAAAGCATTATAATTTCCTAAGAAGTTGAGTTCTTTTCATATGTCTGAGATTCCCATCATGAGTAAAATAAGCTGAAAGGTAAGTGCCCAAAATGAATCATAAGAGTTCTCTTCTGATTATAAGCAAGTTTTTATAGTATATTTAACCAGTTCCACTGAGAAGAGATTGTTGCAATTCCATCAAGAATAATTTGAATATCAACCTTAGTGTTTTCTCTAGCCATTTCCTCAGGCAAAGTTGGTATATTTCTTTGTCATTGATAACGTAACCTATGAAACAGATACAGATTGAGGAATGTGACTGGAAGGAATTAGTAAGCCAACAAGATCATTTCTTAACACTTGGTTTTAGTAATTTGGCTATTCTATTTCACTTTCAGCTTGTTTCTAAGTGAAAATGAAAGAATTTCTTCTCTGCCTAGAAACATCAGTAGCACTAAGGGAAAATTAGAAAATGACATTGCAGCCTGTTGGTTTATGTGCCAGATGGTTTACAGTATTCGCTCCTAAAATCCTGACTATACAGAGCTAAGCCCTATTAGAAAACATCTGCATCTTGTTCATTGGTTTCTGTCTTCACTACCTTCAGGGACATACCTTTCTGCATGTATTTCCTAGAGGAGCTGTTATAATACTCTAATCATTTTGGCATAAATTGGTAAAAAGAAAAAAAAATTAACGGGTTCTTGGTAAAATAGTTTGTTCAAGAACCTTCATTCTAGCTCTGATACTGGGATCAAAGAAACAGGTCACTAAATGGTGGATATTTTCCCAATAATGTAAGAGTCTTATGTCCCAAGGTACTAGAAGTAGAGCTGACTACACTTAGCTGCAACCAGCTTTCTTTCCACTCCCAGCCAGAGGATTTAACCAGCCAGAGCTGAGAACCCCTCCAGAGCACATTCACTAGGTCGCAGCTCCCCTTCCAGGAAGCAGATTGAGAGAAAAATATGTAGAAGGCAACTCTGTACATGAATGTGCCCCTGTGAAGTGTTTCCTAGGCAAATGTAGGGAAAAGAGGTTAATTCTGTGCCCCACACTAAAAGCTGTTAAAGTATAGTTATTAACACTGTTGTATACAAGTTAAGACTGGATTTTATACAAACAGGCATCATGCAAACAACATTCTAAAATCTGAAGTCCAAAACTCTACAATTGTAAGGTCTGAGCCCACTTTTATATTCTTAAAGTTGTTTTAAGTCCACATCTGTTTGAATGACTGCTATTTATTATATTTTTGGACCATAAGTGGTTAAGTTGATAACATCTAGTTTATCTTGGTGAATCTTTTTTTTTTTTTTTTTTTTTGGTACTAGGAATTGAAACCAGGGGCACACTACCACTAAGCTACATCTCCAGCCCTTTTTATTTACCTTTTTATTTATTATTTTGAGATAGGATCTTGCTAAGTTGCTGAGACTGGCCTGTAGCTTGCAATTCTCCTGCCTCAGCCTCCTAGCAACTCTGCTGGAATTACAGGCATATGTCACCACACCTGGCTTAGTGAATTTTTAGAATGGAAATGACGCATTTTAAATCGGTAACAGATGTTTTCTAAAATACATGATTTTTTTTTTTATGGTTTTGGGGATTGAACCCAGGACCTTGTACATGCTAGACAAGTACTCTACTAAGTGAGCTATATCCCCAGCCCTCCCAAAGTATATAAAAAAAAATACTGTTCACCATTGGCTTAGTTGAACCAATATCTTTTTGAATGAGTGCCAAAGATGTCTGAATTCAGATATTACCTACAACAGATCTAAATTTTAGTTTTGTTTTCCTGCCTCCATATACAGATTTACTGTGATTTACAACATAAAGGCAGAACATTGTTTTCCACTGGTTCCACTTCTTCATGATACTTTCCAGCATGTAAAATACTTGTAAACCATTAAAATAGGATGTTAGTTATGATGATAGTGTTTCTTGTCTTCTGGAAAATGATTTTATTAATCACATTTAAAACCCATCACTAGGCTAGGGATATAGACTAGATCAGTGGTAAAGCACTTGCCTAACAGGCATGAGGCCCAGTACCACAAAGAAAAAAGAAAAAGAAAGAAAAAATTATTTTCAAAAATTTCATCATTAAAAACAATATACTTCTAGTTATCATTTCAGGGAAAAGTTTACATTTCTGAAACTCTTTATTTGGTATGTGACTCATTGTGGTATTTTGATCTTGTTAATCACTTACATGACCGAAATTCACAAGGACTTTTTTTTATTTTTATTTTTATTATTTATTTTTTGCAGTACTGGAGATTTAACCCAGGGCTTAATGCATGCTTAGCAAGCACTCTACCACTGAGCTACACCCCAAGTCCCACAAGGATTTATTGCCAAGTAAAATTTGACTAGAATACACGAAAACGGCTTATATTTTCTTAAAAATTTCCTAGTTATCTTATTTAGAATGTACTATTTGGGTCATTTTTAGACATATTTGGTGATATTTCACAAATAAAAAACAAACCTCAAGTATTCAAAAAAATCTTACATATTTTGACAGAAAGGTTTATGAAAAAACTAGACAGTAAATATAAATTCTAATGCAAAATTAATGAGTAATAAAAACTTATTAAAAAAACACGTTCTGCTATAAATTCAAGAGTTCAGAAGAAAAAAAACGGTATGCTCTAATTAAGGACTGAATTATCAAAACTGCATGATAATACTTCTACTCATTTCCATTATTGTTGTTCTTTTGAAATTCAAGTTGGTGCTTTTTAACAGCAACAACAACAAAAAAGCTCTTGGAATATATTACCCGTGCCCCTGTGTATAAAGTGAATGGGATTTTTGTTAAAACTACCTTTCCACTCCCGAGCCCTGTAACCATCCCTTTCATATGCCAACCCCCACCACCCACATGCACACACTTGAATTTAAAAGATCCCTAAGTAGGAAGGAAATCCACAGTCTATTTTAGATGCAGTTCTGAACCAATGGATTTTTGTTCTCATAATTTAGAACACTAAGTAGCTAATATATTCAATGCCATTGATTGATTTTTCAGGACTTTGTCCACTTTAAAATAGAATCCAAAGTCATCAGAGGAAAGTAAGCAAGGTCATCCAAAGCAAACTTTCGTTTCAGGTGTGTCCCTATCCCAAACAGATCTTAGGACAGAAATGGAAAAGTGATTTCATGCTGAATTATTTTTGGAAAAATTGCACTGGAGTGCATGGATTCTTAAGCATGCATTTTAAATGGGGAATTAGATTTAATTTGGGGGGTTAAAAGAGGGTGACAATTCTATAGTTTTGACAGAAAGGGTTTTTGTTTGTTTGTTTTCCAGAATTGTCATTATCAAGTATAAAGATTCATGTCAGAATGGCCAACTTCACATGAGTGTCTGTATTCCCTGGTGCTGCTCCTAACCTGAACTCATAATCAGTTGCCATACTAAAGCAAGAGCACTCAGGTGAATGTGGTCAAGTTACTTTAAGATTCATAAAAAGTTTTTGACTGAATGCAAAATATGTTGAGATGGTAAGTCGGTGATCAATTGTTCATCACTAACTTTGTTTGCACTTTCACAGAACACTGCTTGCACTAGGATCTTAGTGTGAATTATAACAATTGTTTTACAGTATATACAGATTGTTAAGCATAATTTATATGAAGATGTTTCTGTTTACTTTTGTGTATTTTACAAAGAACAACTATAATAGATGGTTAAATGTTTTTGAATTGTGTTTGTATGTTATTTTGATTTTGTTCTGTTATCTTTTCACTTCCTATGAATTTGAGTGTGTCAGGAATAGAGAAATAAAATGCTAACCTGGTTGTCAAATAACTCCAGTATTTGGTTCCATTTTGCTGTTGTGTTTTGGTTTT